AGGGTTTCTAATTTGTCCAAAATTTTCCTTTGGAGGTTTGAGCTATAATTTCTTATATGAAAAGATCATGCCCTAGTAATTGAGCTGCTAAATTAATTGATTCTTTTTGTTTATATAATTTGGATTTTAACTTTTAACCCCATCAAGGATTAATAAAGTGATGTGAAACTAACATTTTTTAATTAAAACCTATTTTGATGAATATATCTTATTTTTAAAATGAAAAAAATAAAATAAAATGTATAACTGAAACTTTGCATAAAATAGGGGTCAGTGTCTTGCACCTGCCACTTAAGTTTGAATTTAAAAATGTTGTTCAACTAACTCATTAATTGAACAAAAATGATTGAGGCCTCAAATTTTTTGGCTCAAATTTGCCTCGAATTTGCTTTTTTTTTTTTTTTTTTTTTTTTTTGGGTTTGTGTTTGTGTGAAAAAAGTGTGATCGGGGTTGATCCCTGAGATGAATAAAAGATGGTTTGGCGTGCAAAGCTATATGGTATGAATGGAATTTGAAAAAAGATTAAAAATAATGTGAAAGAAAAAATAAAGAAAGAAATAATAAGAATATATTTGAAATCAAAATGAAAGATGGGGAAATAAGGAAAGTGATTCACGTGGTTTCGTGTCCCACTGTTTTGGGAAAATCGGAGAAGCCTCTTGAAGTCTTCCATCCAGTAACACAAGCCACAATGGAAAATATACAGGCTGATGGTTGTAGGCAGAATAGGAATTCAATAATGCAATTATTTTTTTATTTTTTTTTTGAACATAATCAATTATCAGTCAAAAAAAAAAAACACAGAGCCGACCAAAAAAGGCACTAATCCATTCTCCAAACGCACCAGCTGTTGTCCACCCATCCCAGCAATCACCACGTGAGAGAGAGAAAGCCTCTGAGTAGTGGAATACTCAAACAATTCACAATGGGGTGGTATGGCATAGGATAATATATTATAATGGTGCTACAGCTGGGTTTGCATAAAGGGGAAGGAAAAGGTGGGAAAGTTGACAAAGAGAAGAGAGAGATGGAAAGAGAGTGAGAAGTGTGACCTTCTTGGCGATGAAGTCTCAGCGGTTCGAGAGAGTGCCTGATCATTAATTTGTTGGCTCCTATTTTGGACCTCTCTAGGACCATACACAGCAGCAATGACCTTGGTGTTACCCATCTCAAACACAGCAGAACCATCAGCATTGGCAACGGCACCGATTTCAGCTCGAATCTGTCTCATCTCCATGGGACGACGACCATCTAAGCGAAACCCTTCGGGGCTCACGAACTCCATCTCTGTGAGACTCTAGAGAGAGAGAGAGACCACGGTTTGGTGTGGTGTCGTGGCCGTGGACAACGGCGAGATCGATGGCTGATGAATCAGACAAGAACAGCCGATTAGGCGACGATTTATCGGCTTTGAACATCAACAAGAACAAAGAGGAGGCGGAGGAGCGGCCGGACAAATTGTCGCCGCAGCCGGAGAAGCCGTTGCCGGGGGACTGTTGCGGCAGCGGATGCGTCCGATGCGTGTGGGATGTGTATTACGAAGAGCTCGAAGATTACAACAAATTAGTCTCTGAAAGCGAAAGCAAAAGCAAAAGCAAAGACCTATCCTGATTTAGTATTTACGAGAGCCCTAGGCTTCTTCAAATTGAAGTTTGAGATCTGGAATTCATTATCCAATTTGATTGATTTACCGATCTTAATTTTCTTTATTGCATCACAGGTTTTGTATTGTTTATGTAATTGTTGATGATTTTTCAAATAGAATGGATGAGTTGGTCGTGATTTTGGGTTTTAATTGGGAATGTTTGGTAAGTTGATTTCAGGGTATGTGTTTGAGCCTCCTTATAATCAAAGAAACTCGTCAAATGATGAAACTACCCATAGAACTTTTTGAAAAAAATTGTTAAAAAAAAAAAAATTAAAAAAATAAAAGCCTGGCAAAAGAAAATGTTACGAAGAAATTGTTAATTAGGCCTCGTTTAGGATGTTACCTTTTTAGTCAATTAGTTAAAAAGTTACTAAATTAGCCAATTAGTCATACCAAAAAGTCAACAATTACGGCTTCTCTCTACTTTTTGCACAGCTTTTCGTAATTAGTCAAAAGTCATCCCAAACATACAAGTTTTTTTTACCTACCTTCTTAGCCAATTAGCCAAAAAGTTACTAAATTAGCATGTTCCCAAACGAGGCCTTAGTCTTCAATCAAAACAGCAGCGATTGGTAGTTCGAAAATGGAGAGTTCAAATGGCTCGATTTTTTTTTTCCCTACTCCTTCATTCTTTCTCTTCTTCCTTCCTTTTGGGTTTGTTGAAAAAGTCTCACAACCGTCTGTCTCTCTCTTTCCTTCTTTCTCTCCCTCTGTAACATCTATCACTTCAACTTAGTCATACTTGTATATATTTATGTATGATCTTGTTTAGTTATGTGCATTTGCAAATTTTGTCTTGTTTTACTTGAGTGTTTCTTGCATACTTTGTTCTTGCCTGGTGTGTTGTCGAGGTCATCTTTAGCCTAGACACCTTGGAACCTTTCTACACTTAGAACTATCTTGTAACCACTTTGGTTGACCTCCATCTTCACCCTGGCATCTTTGCCGAGATGTCTCTATCTAGGCCGAGATGTTTATCCTCGCACCCTAGTGATTTTTGTTCCTGGAATGGTATGACCTAGACCGAGGTATGGCACGTCTAGGCTAAGGTGTGGCAGCTTAGTCAAGTGTTGTCCTTCCAAGCCGATGTCATTGTCACCCTACTTGCCGAAACTTTGCCCTTGGCCGAGATCATCACTTGCCGGAGTGCTCTTGCCGTCTAGCTTGTTGAACACACCTTGTCATGGTCTTGTCTTGTCAAGTCAGTCACATTTTTGAGTAGAACCAATCAGCCGATGCCACGTGTCCCAGTGGAGGGTTAAGTTAGTGACTGTCGAAAAAACATATCATTTGGTATCAAATCTTGTCTTTTAGAGAGAGAGGCTCTAGGAAGGAGAAGGAGAGGTTTTGAGTGAGAGAGAGAACTTCCAAGCTTGATCGTTGGAGCTTGAACCGTTAGATTCGAGTTTTGAGGTTAGAATCTTAACCTACTCTTGTTGTTCTTACTGATCATCCAGCAGCATTACACGATCGAGCTTGTTCTGCACGTAATGCATTGATTTAAAGTTGGTTTTAGAAAGAGAAAATGGTTTTCATGTGTTCTTGAAGAAAAACCTCGTTTGATCTGAAAGTTTGCATCTAGAACCATGTTTTTGTGTTTGTTCTCTCAAGATCTTTGAATATGGGTACCCAGGTCCATGATTTCGGATTTTTAGCATGAAATCTTAGATTTTGTAATAGCAAGTTTTAATCTTTGCATTCATCTTCCTCATGTTCATGTTCTTCATGTTCGTCATGTTCTTCAAGAGAGGGAAACCCAGATTTTCCCGACTTCATTTCCTTGACTGTGGCCATCGAGGCCACACCTCGGCAAGGAGGTGTGGGACCTCGGCCTAGACCTGGTGGTTGCCCAGCTTGTTTTCCAGCGATAAGAAACTGTGTTTTGATTTGATTTACTTAGTTTTTGAAAAATGCCGAGGTCATTTGCATACATGCGAGACTTGTTTTGAGAAGTGCATTCAATAGACTTTGTCATGTGTTTGTAGGATTGGGACTTGCCTTGACCCCAACGTTTGAAGAACGATATGAGTGGTATTTTTAATAAAGCTATGTTATCAATGTTTTGATGAACTTTGTTTTGAAAAGTATTTGTTAAGCATGAATGATTGTCTCTATTTTGTATATCAAGCATTATCTTGTTTTGATGATCTCCTCGGAAAGTCCCTTGTGCTGGAGGATTCTAAACTTTCGCAACACATCTTGTTTTGAAAGTCCCTTGTGCTGGAGGACTCTAAACTTTCGCAGCACATTTTGTTTTAAAAGTTCCTTGTGTTGGAGGACTCTAAACTTTCGCAGTTCCCTCGTGTTAGGAGGCTACGGGCCTTTGTAACATAGGTCCTTTGTGCTAGAGGACTCTAAACTTTTGTAGCACCCTTGTTTGAGATACCTCTCTTGCTTTGTTTTGTTTTGCCACTGACGGTTTACCGCGTGGGCTTGTTTGTCCGGAATGTCATCATTTGTAATATGTCGATGCTAGTAAGCATTCCTTGGAGCTTTAAAGATTTGTTAGATGGACGAGGTCCATCCCTTATTATGTAAAGTTTTGACATGTATTGTTTTGAAAGGACTTCGGCTATTATTCATGCAAACCCTTTATTAGTTATACCATTCACTGAGTATCCAAGCTCACCCTCTATATATATATGTAGGTGATGAGCAAGAAGGCGGTGACGCCTAGATGTGATTCGCGAGCTTGTTTTGGATTTTTGTCATGCCGGCTTGACTTGTAATTATGTCGGCAGTCTTGAAAATCATGCTTCTCGACTTGTAATATTTGTATTTCGTATACGTCGGCTTGAGAAGCCTTTTGATCAAGATGTGTGTTTTGTATGTATGTTACGTCGGCAACGAGGATGTCGGCAATCTGCCAGACTATGTTCCTTGACCTGTAGTTCGTGCATCTTGTTTATATCGGCTTGTGAAGTCCTTTGTAAAAGTGTAATAGGTATTTTGGACCTTACTTTAATTGTATTCAAGTTGTAAAGCTGTGTAAGGATGTATGCCATTCAATTTGACTTATGCACTGCTCTTATGGACCACTTGTATTTTAGATTATTACTTCCGCACTTGTGAGCCCCATATATTTATACTCTGATTGTGTGTGAATTTTGAAAGTTAGCCTTCGGTAATCCCGGATTACTGGTCATCACGGTACCAAACTACTAGGGGCGGTTTGGGGTCGTGACAGAATGGTATCAGAGCACAAGTTCCTTAGTATACGTTATTCACACACCTTGAGTCCTAAAGAGCATAGGATTTTCCCTTAGAAGGATGTTAAGAATTGCATCATATTACTTGCTATGTGAATAAGGTGTGCATCGTCTCGACATGCTTAATTGTTACTTGCCTATGTGTTTATTTGTTCATTTTGTTTTAAAGTCGTATCTTGCATACTCATAGCATCATGAGGAGAGGTAGACCTCCAGTTGGCCGAGATCATTCCGAGGACAGATTAGACAGACTGGAAAGGTTAGTTGAAGGGTTGGCCCGCGAGCTAAGGCAGACAAGACAACAGTACGCTAGTGCTACATCGACTCAGGCCGAGCAGACAAACGGTCGAAATGCAGTTCCACCTCCATCTCCTCCAGTACCACAAGTGCCCCCACAGCCAGCTTTATATGGGGACGACACGATAGCTTTGATCAAAGAGTTCAAGAAAATGAAGCCACCGAGATTCCAAGGGGGTATAGAGCCGATGAAAGCCGAAGCGTGGGTTTTGGAAATGGAGAAGTTGTTCGAGATCTTTCCCAGCACCGACACCCAGAAGGTGACCTTAGCAGCCTTTACACTAGATGATGATGCCCGCAGATGGTGGATGATGGTTCGAGAAAGCAATCCAGACTTGACCTGGACCCGATTTTTGGAGTTGTTTTACACCAAACATTTTCCCCTAAGTGTTCGAAATCGTAAGGCTACCGAATTTTAGACTTTGACGCAAGGCAGTAGAACAGTGGCTGAATACGACCGTGCCTTTACCGAGTTGGAGAGGTATGCACCCTACATGGTCAACGATGAATATATGAAGGCTAGGAAGTTTGAAAGTGGACTGCGTGGACCGATACAAGACCGAGTTAACATGCTCAACATGCCGACTTACGCCGGAGTACTGGACAAAGCCATTCTGGCCAAAGCTAACTTGAACAGATATCATAGTTCGGGAGAGAGCCAGAGGAAGAGACAGAGTTATGACAATCGCCGAGCACAATTTGGTACCAAGAAGAAAGCGAATGTTGGCAGTTCAAGCAACCCAAGGCAGGAAAGTGGAACTAAGCCGACATGTTCAAGTTGTGGAAGCCACATTTCGGGGTTTGTCGTCGAGCGTCTGGAGCTTGTTATGAGTGTGGTGAAATAAGCCATTTTGTGAGGGACTGTCCAAAAACAAGAGTTGATGATGGTAAGAAAGATGAAAATACCTCGGGTTCCGTACAGAAAGGTAACGTTGGGAAGGGACCGATGAGGCAAGGTAGAGTTTTTGCACTGGTACCAGGAGACACTCAGAATGCTGAGACAGTGGTATCAGGTATACTCCCAATTTGCTCTCAAAATGCATATGTATTGATTGATTCCGGTTCTACGCATTCATTCATTTCTGCTAAGTTTGCCGAGAAGATTAATAGGAAACTAGAACTCCTTGATTATGTGTTATCTATATCTACTCCATCTGGGAGATCTATGAATGTTGCATCCATCTATCGAGCATGTGTTGTTGTGATTGAGAATGTTGAATTGTTAGCTGATTTAATGCCATTGGACATAAGTCATTTTGATGTTATATTGGGGATGGATTGGTTAGTGGCAAATTACGCATCCATAAATTGTGTTTCTAAAAGTGTCACATTAAAACCCCCAAACCTAGCTGAGGTCACGTTTCAGGGTAAAGGAGTAGTATCCCCACCTTACTTAATTTCATCCATGAAAGCCTATAGGTTGATCCAAAAAGGATGTCAAGGTTATTTGTGTAGCATACTAAGTAATCTGAATGGAAGTGTTGAGTTAGCCGACATCCCCGTTGTTAATGAGTTCCACGACGTCTTTCCAAATGAGTTGCCTGGTCACTTGGTTGATAGAGAGGTAGAGTTTACTGTTGACATCATGTCGGGAACCCAGCCCATCTCTAAAACACCCTATAGGATGGCCCC